CCAGTTTTGTGTTTGTAAGTTTATTGTGAAGGTTTTGTTTTAATTTTTTTATCTTAAAAACAACCAAGACTCGTCAAATGTTTCCATGTTATTTTATCATTTCTTCTACCTGACCTGAGGATGACAAAATCTTTTTGGAACGTCGTACATTTATAATAAAGTTTATTCATTACCCACTCAAGCCGTCTCAAAACTTTTATTTTGAATAAGAGTTCAATAAAAATAATTAAATATTCTTATTCTGTGATAATGTTTAAATAACATTGTTAAACAACATTTAAATCAGTAATGATAGTTACATATAGATCTACTTACTACAGTAATTATTATTGTTTGTGTGTTTTGAAGTTAAGCACAAAGCAACACAGCTATCTGTGCTCTGTCCACCACAGATATCGAAACCCCATTTCTAGCGTTGTAAGTCCGCAGACATATCGCTGTGCCACTGGGGAAGGGGCGCGTAATTATAATTAAATCTCCTGTATAAAAATAAAAAGATTATTAAAACTATAACTAAAGACATTTATTATTATCATTTACACACAAGTTTTATGACGTATGTACTAATGTCCAATGAACATGAGAAATATCAAACATGTTGATATAGATACAATAAAAAATTCATTAACATTAGATCAATACTCCAAATCATGGGTAATGCCTAAGGTTTAAGATTTATAATCTAAAGGTCTTACTACGATGATTAATAATTACAAACAAAATATATTTCATATTTCTAATTTGTCAGTTATGTAACGTCACTCTTAATACTGTTTTCCGGCTGCAAATTCAAACCTACTTCACGAGATCTGCACGTTGGAGACCACAATTTGAATTATAGATATACTTTTGATGGGAATAACCTTAATAACATTAGGGAAGAAATGGGTTAGCCTCTTAAGCCATCCAAGCTATGTGTTCTTCCTAGAGGCAGACCAACTGGGATTTTAAACTGTGTTACAGAAATATTAAATACAATTCTAAAGAGGTCATTGTAAAGGTCTTTCGTTGAGTCACATTCGGTTGTGTTTAGTTTTGGGATCCTTAACATAGACAGGACACCGAATTGATGAAAAAGGTACAGAAGACAGAGGAGGTCTACTAAGATGATAACTGAAATAGAAAGGTCGTCATACGAGGTTAGGTCAAGATTTCTGAAGTTGTTGAAAAAATGCAATAACAGGGACAGTGGATATTTAATTGAGGTCTTTATGACTGTTAAAATTGATTGTGTTAATTCCTCTTTTTCATATTTAATGGCGAGAATGGTAAGATTATAGGACACAGATATAAATTTTGGTAGGGTAGGAGTCATCTAAGACAGCTTTATTTTTCTAACAAGGTGGTTGGATTTTGAAACGGGTTGACTTCAGATGTGTTAGAAACAGTTACTTCAAGGGATGTTAAAGGACAAGTTGATAAATATTTGAATTATAAGTGATGACATTGAGTTTTTCAATGTTTAGTTTAATATAATGAGTAGGACGATCTAGATGGACCAAATGGTCCCTTGTTGTCTTTTGTTGTTATGTTACATAATTTAAGTTTACCTTTAATTGGTTTTAGGAAAATTATATCAATCTGTAACTTTACACATAATCATATATTAATATATCTTTAATTTG